AAGAGAGCTAGTCTCTAAAGCAGACATGGCTATGGCTTGATGCTAACATCTTTGTTAGCTGTCAGAATTCTGAGAAAAAAGTCAGAATTCGGACTTTTTTCACATGTTAAACTGAAATAAAATTTAAAAATCAGTTAACTTTTTTTTTTTTTCAGTGGCCCTAATCCTCTTCCATAACCTCCTATGTTGCCAGCTATAAGCACATCCCCAAAGTTAAAAAGTTTCATTGACATTCAGTTTTTTTTTTTTTATGATTTGCATCTGGACAGAGTTTATTTTGAAAGTAGGATTCAATTAGAATAACAATTATAAAATATTTTACACAGTTATTTTCTTTTATTATAATCAACAGTTAACTCTCAGATCTACAGCAAAAAAAACCTAAACATATTTTAGCCAAAATGTTATCTATTAAAGTCCACATGTGCATATATTTATATTAAGCAGCTCTAACTGCTTCGACACAATTTAAAACCAGGCTGTTTGACTATACATGTGAGGGTATTAGGTGTACTTTCCCACTTAAACATCTCATAATGTATTTTTGTGCTAAAATAATTAACGGGTTACGACCAAATGATTGACTAATGTTACAGCTGCTGCCACTCCACACCGGCCTGCCCTGATCACCCAGGGCTCTGCCACTGAAGTATTAAGGTGTACTCTGTAGCTTAAAAAGATCTAAATATAAATGTCTTTTGTAGATTTTTTACTGGTGGAATAGAGCACTGAAGCTGTATACCAACTACCCCTCAAAAGCCTGGAAGGGACTGGGTCTGCAGATGATGCATGTAAAGTGAATTTACCAGGATAAATGCTACCTGGGCATTCAAAGCACCAATCCTTTGAGTGGCAATAGAAAAAGGGGCTGATTAATTTTAGTATTTATTCAGGTTGAAGGCTGGACTTTGACTGGGCCACTGTGACACTTTCAACATGTCGACCATTCCTCTTTGCTGAATCATTCTATCACAGCCATAACTGTGTGTTTCTGGTTGTACTTCTGCTGATTGGCGACTCCTTCTCAGTCTCAAGTCTTCTGAAGGCTATAAAACGTTTGGTTGCTGGATTTATCTGTATTTAGCTCATCTGTTCAACTTCAACTCTAAATGCGTCCCTGTCCCTAATTCAATAATTCAGAACTAGATTTTGTCTTTTATGGGGTAAAGAGAAAATTATGTCTCTGCAAGTCATCTAGGAATCTTCACTGAAATCAGAGATAAATAACTACTTTAATAATAAGTAATCAATTTATTGTAGATATTAGTAAATTTAAATATTAATTTTATGCTGAATGATTCTTAATAAAATTAGGTTAGTAATGACAATGAATAAGATGTTCGCCCCAGAACTCAAAACTGAAAGAATTTTGTCCACTTCACCATTAATTTATACGGCATGGATTTTTAAATATAAGCTTCTATTTCTTAGAAAAGGCTGCAGAAAAGTATAGTTTGTCTTTATTTAGAAAATATGGATGTTGTGATTTTTCATTTTCCTTTCGGTACAGTGTAGATTGACCCTGAGGTTTTGGCACCTATCCACTTTTGGCCACCCCTCAGTGTACATTGGTTATTGCCTGGCCACCCTTATTAAAATTTTCTGGCTATGCCTCTGTGTCTCTTGGGCTTAATGAAGCTGTTTAACTAACAAACCTTTCACAAATAAGTTGTGTAGACATTTTTCAAATGCTTTTATACATATTTTATTTGATAAAAGTAATTTTAGAGTCTGGTCAAAACCATAACATTTTTAGGTACTTTTTATAAACTAGAAATGAGAGAGTGATGTTTTTTTTTTTTATTCTGCAAAGCTTACACCGTTTCCTTTCATTTCCACTCGGCAGGGAATTTGTGAATTCGTTGTAGCATTGGAAAGAGTACTTGGACCTCGGATAAAGATGGACCTGAATGTAACAAGAACGTTAAGTGTTATTTTCTTCCACTGGTTCGAACACCTTCTACCATCAATAAAACACAACAGGCCGGGAAGCCCATCATCAAGCAGTAAAGAGCCTAATGCTCCGATTTCAGAATCAGAATTTTGGATCCATCTTTTAGGTAAAACCTTCTGGAAAGATCATCCAGTTTGCATTCAGGAAATTATCTGGCAAAATTAATCGACAAAAGGTTAAATTTACATTTCAATATCTAAGCAAATTATACATGCAACAAGCCCAGAGTGGAATTTGTTTTTTAATACTTTAACATTTTCATAAAATCCTTTAATAATCACATTTTTTTAATAACTTTTAATTCATATGCAATAAAGTGTTGCAGCTTTTGATAAACATTAAAAGTACTTGAGTTGAATGATTGGTTAAACACACTGAAGTGTTGTATCCTTTTTTTGTAAAGTCGGTTTCTTATTCTCTAAATGCAGAACATGTAAAGCTTCAAGATGATTTTTACTGTAATAAATTCATTAAACCTTTTGAAACCCTCTCTGTGTTTGTTAGATGCTTTTTGATTCATGTATTGGAGCTCAGTTGTTGGAAAGAATAAGCTGGGAACCCAGAGGGGTTCTCTCTTAAAAAGGCTCTGATTAGCAATTTAATAAAAAAAAAAAACTAAAAAATTATTTTTTTTTCTTGCATTAAAAGTACATGTTCACAGATTTTCATGGAGTATGGGTTATACTATTGGATTAGTGTATACAAACAGAAAAAATTACCAACTTTCATGCCCCTGCTGAATAAAAGAAATCCCACAGCATTACAATGCCACCGCTGTGCTTTTTCACAGAGATACTGTTTTCAGAGTAATGTGCAATATTAGGTAACATTCTACATGTAGGATTTTATATGAAAGATGATTTGTTTTGTTTCCTACTTTTCTCAAAGCAAACACGCCCCTTTAATGTCCTTCTCTTCATAATGGCTTTCTTATTAGCACTCTTTAATAAATGATAGATTTTTGGAGCTAATGGCTAATCGTTGCTCTATCAAACGATTATTTCATAAGCTTTGCATCTCTGCAGCTCTTCTAGAGTAACCAATAGCTTCTTAACTGATTCTTAGTGTCTCTTCTGTCAGTGATAGTTTAAACTCTTTGGATTTTATGAAAGGGTGTCAGAGGAAAGGAGGCAAAATATGTCACCTTAACCTGCTGTGATTTTATCCTTAAACTGTTTTTGAAAACTTTTTTCTTTTTAGAAAAATGTTGATTTGTGCTAAATGCATAATTGAACGAATTAAATTTTATTTTTATAAATGAAAAACAAAAAGGAAAAATATATAATAATAATATTTTAAAAGATCCGAAAGAAAAATACTGTTTTATAGTAAAATCATTATATTAAAAAATTATACAAGTATCATACTAAGTACTTTTGTGATTTTTGTCTAAATTCCAGATGCATGGATTTATATTGTTAAAACACTTTACAGTATTTTATGTCTATTATCTATTAACTCTTCACGATTATGTTATTCTTATAAATTTTTCTAAGGTCCACAAGTTTTTCTACAATCTTTTTGCTGCTGTAAACAGCAGAATTCCCCCATTGTGGGACAATAAAGGGGTTTTCTATTTTATTCTATTATTAAATAACTGCACATTTTTAATAGAAAAGTTTTGTGGGAAACAGAGAAGCTAAAATATTCCATAGATCTTTCATATTGATATATATTGTCTTTGTAATTTTGGTAGTAAGTTTAAATAAGCTCATAAAAAGTTTTTGAAAAATTCCTGCAGCCATGTGATGAACTGCATGCTTATGAAAACAGAGTTACAGTTTTAGGTCAATGTGTGAAATTATAGTTCAGAATTTTTCAGAAACTGACAGAACCCCGTCCGGGCCACGCGTGGACCCGGATCGTGACCCTTTCCCCCACTCTGTCAAAGGTAAAGCTCTCATCTCGGCAGTCGGGATGACGTGGCTGAAGCTTGCGGAAGATGCGCTGACAGAGTTCCTCCAATCATCGCTGGAGCCATCGCTTTCAACGCTGATTGGATACCCAGAACCACGTGACTCCTCCCGACCAATCCGGCGTAGGTGCGATGAGAGCGTACAGAGAGCATCCCTGAAAATTGCCTCTGTCATACAACCAGGAAGAAGGTGGGATATTAGCCCAACGAAGCTAACAGCCCCAATCTTTCTGCATACTTTCACCGAAATTATGGGCTCTTCCCGGTGGAAGGTGGCAGTGGCGGCTTTCCTCGCTATAGTAGGCTCTCTCTTACCCGTTGACGCGGATGAACACGAGCACACGGTAAGATAGCGATTGATTAAGCACGGACTGAAAAGAGAGCGTTGAAAAATAATGGACGTTTATGCCTGTGTGTAAGCTGCTAGCTGTAGCGGCAGAGGCTAGCTGCGGTTCAGGGCACAGAATCCCACCCGACGGGACTAAGGGCCTGGCCTGTTGAGTGATAAACCGATACCTGTCGCGTTATCAATCAGATAAGCATTCAGTTAGCCAGCTAGCATGCAGCCGTTAATTAGCCTAACTGCTTATGCTAACTGTTAGCTTTTTTGCAACACGTCTGCTACTAGCTTCCCGTTAGCACCGGTACAATCTCCTCTTCCAGAAGCAGCATACCAACATCGGTTAGTTAGGGAAATTAAAAGTAGATTTACTGTTGAAGCGTATCTAAAAATGCAAAGAGTCTTAGATGAGATACCAGTGAAACGTTGAGGCCTTTTAGCATTTACTCTGCCATACGTGTAAATGGAGTCAGATAAAATCTAGAAATGTTAAGCAGATCTCAGGCTGATTTATCTTCCTAAAAAAGTATTTCTAGGTGTGAAAGGAGTTAGGTGAGTAAACGGATACAGCGTGGAAGTTCACTTCCTTAAACGTAAGCAAACATGGCTAAGGCATATCACTCTTTGGTTGTACGGCTCTGCCTTAAAGTGATAACTAGGATATTTTCATGAGTTTGCATTTCATTTTGATAGCAATAGCCTTCTGTTTTAGAGCCAGTCCAGTGCTGATGGTGGTTACTTCACTCTTAGTCAATATCAGGCTCTTACTGTGTGATAACAGGGAGTGAATATAAAGCAACATCTCAATTTAAATGACCAAACTGCATTTGTTTTAAACAAAAAGGAGTATTTCTTCAGCATTTTTTAAAAACATTTGTACATCAAAAACTTTTTCAGTTGGAAAGTTGCAGTTTGTTAAATGTTAAACATTGCAGACAGTATTGTTTTCCCCTCAGTTGATTTTAAAACCTGTGTAACCCAAAATCCTAAAAAATAAAAACAACCAAACCTTAATTTAAAGAAAAGGTAATGACTACTTTTATCCACATCCTTAGTTTGAAAAAAGTCAGTTATTCTACCTGTAATGGTAAATTAATAACATTTTAGTCACCATTAAATACAGATATCATTCTGCCTTAAATCAATAAACCATTCATCATTCCTAACATTTTAATTCCTTTAAAAAACGGCTCAAACAATCATGTTAAATCGATTATTGGAATTATTGTCCACTAATTTAGTAATTGATTAATCATTAACTGCAATATAGAGACTCTGAAAATGCCATTAGCTGGAAGGGCAACCTGTTCAGAGCAGTTTTGTAAAAAAGGGGAAAGAAGTTTTACATTTTGCATTCAAGAAAAGCCTTTTTTGTCGATCAGAACACAGAAAGAGCCTTTTGCCATGTGATTATTAATCCATTAGACAATCAAGATTCATTAATTAGCAAAATAGTAACCAGTTGCAACACTATTTCAAATGGTTTATTGAATCCCAAAAGTTTAGCTATGAATATTTCCAGTTTTGAACTGAATATGGACTTTACAGGTACTAACTAAGGAGTGTTTGCATATGTTCATTCAGGAATAGAGATACATAAAAACATTAACAACAAGACTATTTGTTGGTTATAAAGATTTATACATTCCTTCAGATAATCAGACATGACTTTGTCTAACTAAAACCTCAGCATTAGGCTCTGGATACATTGCTGATGGGAATAAACAAAAAACAGTTATGAACTGGCATTGGCAGTACCAAATATTTAAATTATAATGGTGATTAGAAAAGTACTTTGTTTTATATAGTACTTGTGACAGTGTAATGACAATAAAGCTGAATTCTATTCTTTGGATCTACAAGCAAAAAAAAAAAAAGAGACAAAATGTATTGGGAATTTTAGGTGCGTGTTTTACAGAAAACTTGATCTCTGAATAGAAAAAACAGACCAACATGGTCATATTATCTGAATTATTAGTTGGACTATCTTCTTTAGTTTTAGCTTTTTTTTTGCAACTATTTCTAAATAGTTGGACTTGCCTTCAATGTAAGCAAAGTAAATGTATGGTTGCCGTCTTTCAGCTAGCTGACCGGCAGTGCGAAGCAACATCTGCTTGATTGACAGTCAATATTAATGTAGGAAGAGTATCTGATAACAGTTTTGCTTTTTTTTTTTTTACAGACTGATGCTCAATAAACATTTATTTTAATTTAAACATAATTTTAATACCCTGTTGAACTGTTACTGTTAATTGAAATCTGTATTTAAAGCTACTTAGACCCGCATCAAATCAATAGTGTATACTTTACAACCCGAAGGACTTGCAGAACAGGTGTTGCATTCTTGGGACTGCCCTGAATGCATCCTTTTGTTTTCCCTTCCCAGTACACAGATAAGGAGGAGGTGGTTTTATGGATGAACACGGTGGGGCCTTACCACAACCGACAGGAGACATACAAGTATTTCTCTCTGCCCTTTTGCGTGGGCTCCAAGAAGACCATCAGCCATTACCATGAAACACTCGGCGAGGCTTTACAGGGAGTGGAGCTGGAATTCAGTGGCTTGGATATTAAGTTTAAAGGTATTCTTCTCTGTTTGGTGGAAGTACATTTATAGCAAAGTTAACGTCTTTATCAGTTTTCTTCAGCATGGTGACTGTACTTCCCACAATTTATGGTTCCTAATTGTGTTTTTTTTTTACTCTCTGCAGAGGAAGTCATGCAGACAACATACTGTGAAATTGACTTGGACAAACCCAAACAGGATGCCTTTGTTTATGCCATAAAGAATCACTATTGGTATCAAATGTACATAGATGATCTCCCCATCTGGGGTAAGTGACGCTATTCTCCATGTTTTATTTTCTTTCCCTAATTGCTAAATTTTTTCCCAGTATGTCTGTATTCTTTTTAAAAGAACAACACGTTTAATTTTACAGAAGGAAACGGTAACTTGCAAAGTTTTGTTTATAAATTATCTGGATTATTAAGCTGAATTTTTGTGCTAGTTAATTACTACTTTTTATGAAGTTTCCCTAACTTAAATGCAGTTCACTAGAGAGTACAAATTTTCCTTTTAATGAGGTTTGGAGGCAAATTAATGCAGTGACATGCAGTGATTATAATAACCTGTGCTCAAGAGCTTTGATGTCACATATTAGAGGGGTATGAATGACTCCCTGTCATTACAGACATTTCTATGGTCTC